TTATGGGCACTGACTGAACTTGGGGAAAAAATTAGTTCGATTAGTTCGATTTATTCGGTTTAAACGCAAACAGGACAAGAATCAGACCTGAAACCCCTCCCCCCTCCCGTCCCTGCTTCCCGGCCCCAACTGACTTTGCTCCCCGTTGCTGTCCCTCCTCCCCCCAGCGGCACAGGGGGACAGGGAAGGGGCTTTCCGGCCACTTGGTCACTCGCTGTTTTCAGCTGCTCCTTCCCCGGCATGGGGAGGACTCCTCACAGCCTTCCCCTGCTCCAGCGCGGGGTCCCTGCCACGGGAGAGAGTCCTTCAGCAACCCTCCGACAGGAGTCCCTCCCTGTTCCCCCTCAGGAACAGACGCTGCAGCGTGGGCTGCCCACAGAGCCACGGGCTTCTTGGGGCTCCACGGGCTTCTTTGCAGGTCCCATCTGTGCCCCCGTGGTCCTTCACGGGCTGCAGGGGAAACTGTGCTCGGGCACCTGCTCCCCCTCCTTCCTCCCCGCCCTTGGTATCTCTGCTCCAGCGCTGCTCCCAGTGCTGCTCTCAGTGGGCTCCACAGAGTTCTCCACCTCCCCCTCTCCTCTGCTTTCAGGTTTCCCCTCCTTTCATATCTCAGTGGCAGAGGCCCATCCATGGTCTCTCATGCCTCGGCCTTGGCCAGAGCTGGGGCTGTAGATTTTGGAGCTGAGGGAGCTTTTCATCTTCTTGCACGGGCCACCCTGGTCCCCTCCCCTGCTACCACTATTTAATGCAAACCAGCACATCACAGACATCTACCAGGTCTGCTGTCCCACGGGAGAACTCTTACTTCACCCTTGGACTGCTCGAGGCAGCAATGGGAGGATGCCCAAATTATCTGAAGGAAGATAGGTCCAATTCATCCCAGGAGTAGCTGAGACTCCCAGCACTCTACAAAGACCCTGCATCCAGTGTCCCCCCAACTCAGTGTTTTGAGTTGCCAGTTTTGTCCCTACAACCCAGTTAAATGTCTATGTGTTGGGGGGGTGTCCAACACCATGGGTAAACCCACATTTCACCTTGCACACCATTTTCTTCCAGAGTGAGTGTGATGTGATCCCCACACCACTGAAAACCCTGGAAGTGCCCCGAGGGCAGCCACAGCTTGAACCAAAATGCAGCTTTATCGACCCATTGGAGGATCCATCCATGTGCCCTGAGTGCAGGAGAGCTTTTGGTCATGGCTCAACATTGGTGAAACATCCTCCAATCCATGTTGGAGACCTTGCTGTTGGTGAGGAACCCTGGGAAGGGTCAGGATCCTACCAGCCCATCTCCAGTCATTCATAGACACAAAAGGCCCTATAGGTGTTGCCCTGTTGGAGCCACCTCGTGTCTGGACCCATGGTGACACAAATACCCGGTGCCATGTCCTACAACTGCCATGACTGTGAGAAAACTTTTAAGAGAAGATCAAGTTTCACCCAGCACCAGCTAATCCACACAGATGAGAGACCCTTCAGGTGTCAGGAGTGCGGGAAGGGTTTTACTCACAACTTCTATTTAACCCGGCACCAGCGAATGCACAGAGGGGAGAGACCCTTCAGGTGCCTGGAGTGTGGGAAGAGTTACTTCCGTAAATACCGACTAAACCGGCACCAGCAAATCCACACGGGTGAACGTCCCTACAC